TTTATATATATACGTATTGTTATAGTCGTACTTTTGGGTTGATTCTGTATAGAATTGGGTTCAGGTCATCAGGGTTGTGTAATTGCTGTTCATATTTGTGTAAAGGTATTGACTAGAACATTCGGATACATATCAATATACATTTACGCATGTCAATGGTGTGTAGAGGACCCGAACATATATGTATGCGTGTCATATTCATCGTCAAATTTCATTACAGTTATGAATCTGTACAGTCTCATCCCGCTTTTATTGTGTATGTAATATAAAAGACAATTGTAAAAGCGCATGAACCACTTGTCTTCTATCTACCATGTGTAGGTATTGAAGAGTAACATTATACTCTTCCTTAGCCAAGGGGCGAGGATACGTGCCAGTGGTAATGTGAGCGACTACGACGCGAAACGATTGCACCTGATCTACGCCGATAGCGGAAGGTACATCGTCCCGCTTTGTCCCGCTTTGTACCGCTTCTACACCGGGGATTGGTCCCAAAAAACAAAACAGGTTTTTGTCCAGATGGTGACCAATGATTAACTGTTCTATAAATAGACACGTGTAGTACACCTAAGTGCTCTGTGCCTTTTACCTACACAGGAATATCACAATCGCCGGCTACGGAGTGATTGATGGTAACGCCCCCGCATTCTTCACCGAATTGGAGCCGAACGCGATACGACTCAGCCCACTAATAGAGCTACGGAATATACAGGTACGTACCCTAATTTGGATATCTATAAATAGCTCATACCTGTATGTTCACCGGTTGTATGCGTATATTGTATGCGTATGAGGGGGCACCGCCTCGGCTCGACTGACTGTTGAATGTAATGTACAGGTAGCCTAATTTAAATATCTATAAATAGCACATCGTTGCACCGTCTCGGCTGATATAGATAGTCAGACTGTTGCATGTTGTATCCAGGTACCCGAATTTGGATATCTATAAATAGCTCAAACCTGCATGTTAACCGGTCGTAAACGTATGCGATTACCCTACCTTGGCCGATATAGATGCTTAAACCGTTGCAAATTAGCGGTCCCATTCTGTGCCTGTACTCTAACTCGTTCTGTGCCTGGTCTATTAGCTGTGATGCGGTTCCCACACCATCCCGTTAATCCGTTGAGCTATGAGCAACGGATTTAACTGGCGAGTGCTTCTGTGGGGCACAGCAAGCTATTGCTGTAGTTGTTTGGTTCGTATCACGAGACACACTTTGTAAAACACGGATTCCTTTCAGTAGCTGCCTGGTTTGTTTTATCGTACTTGTATTATATTATATTTTGATTTGTTGTACTTATACTATGTTTCTTTCATTCAGCATCTAATGGTGGGTGGTATCAACATCGAATAGTCTTTCGGTAGCTGCCTGTTTTGTTTTGTTGTAATTGTACTATGTTTTATTTTGTTGTATTTATACTCTGTTTTGTTGTGTTGTACTTATACTATGTTTCTTTCACTTGTTTCAGCATCTAATGGTAGGTGGTATCACCATCGAATCGGCTCCTGGATGGACTCTACGGCCCAAAAACTGCGAATATGTGGAGATATCGAAGATAATGATCCTCAATGACAGGTATGTATTCACCTCTGTATATAGTCCTATAGATGTGGACTTGTATGTAGATACATACATGTGATAGAAACCGTACTCATTGACAAAAGAATCGCCGTTTTGAGTACATACTTATGTTAATTACTAATAAGTGCGTTTATACAGACGGTATCATACTTCAAATTAAATTGGCCCATAATACAACAGTAGTAGCGTTATACTTATACGTTTTTATACACCAGTAAGTACGTTTATACAGACGGTATCATTCTTCCAATTATGTTGGCCCATAATACTACCGTAGTAGTGTCATACTTATACGTTTTTGTACACCAGTAAGTACGTTTATACAGACGGTATCATTCTTTCAATTAAGTTGGCTCATAGTGGCTCTGTATTGACACATCCCTGTACGTTTTTGCACACCAGGAAATACGTTAATACAGACGGCATTGACCCAGATTCTAGCTCTCACGTTCGAATCACCGACTGCTTCATCTCCGCGGGAGACGATGCCGTTGTCATCAAATCGTCAGACTATGGGGGGCCTCCCGGAGATGTATGTGTGTTTGAGAGTTGTGTTTATAGATACTGTAATATAAGGTGGATATGTGGTTGAGTTGTGGTTACAGGTAATAGTGCATATAGTGGGCTTTTGTTAGGAATTGTGCATGAGTGTGGTGTACACCCGTGTATATGTTTCTTGGTTTAGTATGTGAAGGTCTTTCCGCTTGGTTGTTGTGCGGTACGGATGAAAATGTACATAACTGACTGCGTTACGTCCGCGGCACGAAAACGCCATTTGCGGACCTTCTGGAGATGTATGTGTATGTAAATTATACTTGCATGAGATTATCTTTATTAAGTAGTTGTTATGTTTTGTGCATAGCTGCGTTATATATATATATATATACATATATATATAATATATATATAAATATATATATAAATATACATACGCGTGTATGTGTGATTAAACATATTAAATAGATTATACTTAGAATGCATACTTAGTTCAGGTGGGTGCGTTAGACTTCCATGTGTGTGTGTCTAGATATATATAGTAAACACTGACACACACATATACATACACACACACACACACACATATATATATATATATATATATATATATATATGTATATATGCATGTATGTGTGTGTGTCTAGATATATATAGTAAACACTGACACACACATATACATACACACACACACACACATATATATATATATATATATATATATATATGTATATATGCATGTATGTGTGTGTGTGTGTGTGTGTTTGTTCATTCAACTCACCGCAAATGACATACAATTAGCCGAACGACGACCACACGTAAATTCGGGATGTATAAACTCTCCCTCCCCTCATGTGTACCGAACTTTTTCACAGGTAGTTAACGTGACTGTCGCCAATTGTACGCTTATCAGTTCCGCTTCGGCGCTAAAAATCGGGACCGAAACCTTTGGCAATTTCAAGAATATCCACTTTTCCGATGTGAATATATGCAACTCACGCACAGGGATTGCGATTATGGCCAAAGACGGTGGTATGTGCTGCAGTGTTGATCATGAAAAAAAAAGAGAACAGGAATTTTCCTTATTTTTGCATCCAAAATAGACTGTGTAACAGAGTAAATATTTGGTGTATTCATAGGGTGATTATGGCTGAGGATGGCGGTATGTGCTGCAGTGTTGGCTATGCCAAAATATAAATAGAAGGGAAGTTTCCAATTTCTTGCCCCCAAAACAGCTTGTGGGTATGTTGTAGTGACTATGGGTGTATGACATGATTCCGATTGACCTTATCTTTTCGAACTAGAGTAATAAGTCCTATCACCTATTTCACTTTCTATTTAAACTCCTCTTCGCACATCCAATGACTAGTTTTCAAATTGAGTGCATATCCCGTTTTCGCGGCTGAAATGTGCAATCTAAACTCACTAGGTAAACTAAAAAAAGCCCCCCGGTTTTTACCCCTCGATCAAATATACCCGGTTTTCCTCCGACCCCGACATAGGAAAGGTCGAGAAGGTCACCTTCGAGCGCATCTCCATGCATACGGAACCGAAGTGGGGCGTAGGGGTGGAATGGCCTATACTGATTGACGTAGAGCGTCGGTACTCTCACTCAGAGATCAGTTTGGTGCGCGACGTTGTACTGGAGAATATCATAGTCAACACGAAGGGGCGGGTATACATCACCGGAATGACTAATAAGTACTCTATGAAGACAGTCAGGTATGTATGTGTGTGTGTAGGTATGGGGATATGAGTGTATGTATGTGTGTATGTGTGTGTGTGTATATGTATGTCTATGTAAGTACGTGCGTATGTATGTATGCATGTATGTATGCAAGTATGCGTGTGTATATGTATATATGCATGTATGTATGTATGTGTGCGAGTGTACCATGTATGTATGTACGTACGTTTGTATGTACGTATGTATGTATGTATTATGTATGTATGATTGTATGGTATGTATGTATGTATGTATATATGTATGCATGTATGTATGTATGTATGTATGTATGTATTTTACGTAAATATGCATGTACGTATGTATATATCTATGCAGAGTGTGTATGGACATCCATAAATACATCCAGTGGTTAGTATACCTTACAGACACAGTGTCTATCACCGTATCCGTGCTTTTCATAAGCGTTGAGTTGAGGTGTGGGCGAAACATTTAAAGTTAGTCGAAGGAGAGTAGTTGGACTTATCCCGTACAGTCCATCTATAGTGGACGCCGAAGTTCGGGTCCCGTAGTATAGCGATTCCGAGCTGAACACATACTCCAAGAACACACAGCAGTAACGCACACTCTATGTCACTTACCGTTTCCTATATACTACACGCTTTACCTACCCAGCCTCAGAAACGTATTAATCACGTACAACGGCGTCGAAGACCGCTCCGAGGCGACTATGCTCAGTGGCACAGACGAGATCAATCAAGATTTGGCCCAAGTGGACTATGGGACTATGGACACGGCCCTGCTGGTAGCAGATGCCAGCGTAGTGGACCTGGATGTTATCATCGACTGGTCAGCTGTGTATGAGCAGGTAAACTTGAAATAGGTTAT